GTTATGAATATAATTTTCACGATATCATATTCCATGTAATGGCGTCTACCAAAGGGGGCTTACTTAATGCATTAACGAGTTCGTAACAGCTGCCTCTATTATTAACAGCGCCGTAATTATGTGAACGAAGTTGATATTAGAAGGAATTACGGATCGCGAACGAGTCAGCTACGCTTCCTTCTTTTGCGTGTCTGGTTAAAATTTCGTTATTTATCGACGACGGTAGCGCATGAACAACGTTGTTGCACGTGGTTATTTCAATTTTCCTGTAACGCAGCAGGAACAATTATACGACCAGGGAAACACCACTCCATTGACCGCACGATGAAACGTACCGGCGGCAATTAAACAGCGTTTAAGGCCAAGCACGTGGAAAATGAACGAGGAGATGACCGATCGCAATTGCTGTTGTCAGGGGAGCATTGTGTTATAGACAGATTCCTGGAATACCGTTTAGAAGTTTCCCTTCGATCACCGTCGCCCCCTTTCTTCCGTCCAGCTATCATCTCGTCGATTCTTGACAGACAATTCGTGAAAACGTTCGTACAAATGATAACCTTTTTATTTAATTCAACCAAGACTTCGCAATGGTAGCGTTTATATTCGTTTAAAGTATAATTCCAATGTTCGTTCGCAAAGATCTAACTTCAACATTACTTCAAGATTACAAAGAGTCTATTCTTCTATTTTAAAATTGATTTTTTGTTTTGTAAAAATTCTTTTTCAAAAATCTACTGGTATACATCGACCCATATTCATGATTTTCTAGCAAACCATTCTTGAGATATAAAGCAAAACAGAGGCCAACATACATATTGCTATATTTATTTAGGATATGAAACAGCGTGGCTCGTACATCATGTAATTAATCAATTTTTCACAATAATCTTGGATCCTGTATCAAAGGTTATCGACGAACGTCGGGGCAGTGTGATATTCACAATATATTTTTTGTCCAAATAAACCCATAAATTTTCAATAGAGATTAAATCGAAGCTCTCGCGCTGGCCACTGGAAAAACTCGAATCTCTGCAAATACAACCGGATTTGAATTGATTTTACAGTATGCTGGGGATTCTGTGTCATCGAAAAATTATTTTACCATAAGGACACGGTATAACACATTTCACCATTTTCGACAAATGATATCGTAAAATATATGGTTTCGATATCCAGTGTTAGGAAATGATATTTTTACCTTTGCTTTTGATTTAATGATATTTCATAACATTTCCATTGATCGGTAGTCTAAATTTCGTAATCGAGTAGATTAAACATTCTGCAATTATTACATGCCAGAGTACTTCCGGTGCAATCAAAAGTCACGTGAAACAACGACAAATGGATGCAAAAGGTATTCGTTTCGCTGCAATTGCGTCGAAACGATACTGAAATTGAGGAAATATCATTTTGTCGGTCGTATTTTCGCAGTTTCGTTATTTTTCGTTCAGATTTGATTGCTTTCATTTGTCGTTACGAGTCGGTGTTGAGGTGACAAGCAAACCCGATCAGTACGTACGCGCATTGTCACGATACGTGGAGCCCTTTAGAAACATTACACACGCGTGTAGGTGAAATCGATCGCAACTGTCCGTTCCCGTGCTTTTCACAAGGACAAGCAGAATTCCAGGAACGTCCGATCCTCGTCGTCGGACAACGGAACGAACTCGTCGATCAATCGGCACACTAATGGTGGAATTTGGGCACACCACTCGATGCACTCCGTGCAAATTGTATTTGAAGGTACGTCAAGCAGAACTCAGGATCGCGTTTGCCAAATTCTACATTGCCTTTTGATTGCACACTGGACGGTTGGAAATGACGCACGCATGGATCGTCTGTTCTTTCTCTCCCCCATCTTGTGCAAAAAGTATTTGCACGAGAAAATAAAAAAGAATCGTGACAACGGTGATCGGAATTCGAATCGTTCCATCGCGGTTAGATTGTTTTAACAATTGAGTTATCCCTGGTCGACCTTCTTTATCCTTTGTCTTAAGTGCTCACTCTGGCCCAACACTTTTAAAACATTGATTTTTTTAATTTTCTTCTATTATAAATCACGATTTTAGAGTAACCGTTAGCAAAAGAATGTCAATATCTTAATTTTTTAATTCAGATTACTCCAAAAACGGTAAGTCTTTTTAGAAATATATATATATGTATGTAAGTCCTATTGTTTTGATTAATTTTAGTGGAAATATTATAGTTTCAACTGCGTCTCCGAAATACTAGTTTTCGACTGGCTAACTCTAGAAATGACTAAACGGGTTAGTACCAATACAAAAATCGCTCGGTTAATACAAGTTTAAGCTGACTAGTTTAAGCCAGTATTAGCGAAACATCCTCGCCACTGAAATCAGTTCTCGGTGAAAACTAGTTTCAACTGGGGAAAACTAATAATATCCTCAATGATCGTATAGCCGTAATTATTAAAAGATATGAATTTTTAAACAAAAGACGATCCGTGCTGGTGTATGTATAATTCGGATTACGGATCAGTAACACACAGGATGCCATTCATGATTTTCTAACCAACAGCGAACGTATTAAATTTTCAAATGACACACCACAACCTACGGTGAACGTTGCCGCGAATACTTTAGTACAGCAACCTAGACGATTCTATTGTAGTACTCTAAACGATAAATTTTCGTTAGAAATTATTTGATTTCACTCGATAATAATTTTGAAACTAACTCTCGTCGTTAGAACATAGATTAAAATTATCAAGCTGTTGGAATAGGTCATTTCCATTTTATCGTTTCAGTGAGATGTCCAATCGTAATCTCATAATCGTTTTAATAAAGTCATTTATACTGTTATGAAAATTTTAGCGACCCTCTCTATACCAATGTAAGGATAATTTGATGTAATAAAACTCTTCCACGCGAATAGAGTCAGTTTCCATTTTATTGTCCTTTTATGCATATTTGGATTAAAAGTGATAAACCAAGTCGTCGAGGTTTTATCGATTATTCAGGACACTTTCGGCCCGATGGTTTACTAGTTCGTCTCAATGACATTTTTTGTTTTAAATCAAAATAGATTATAAATTATAAATTATAGGTCATAACTCCGGGAATCGCTTAGCTTCTCCCGCGTGGAGGGTTTAAGGCGAATAAAAGAACAGTAAAATGGAAACAGACTGTGTTCGAATTAAAGTGTTTTATTATCTGCAAATCTGTGAGCACACCTTGCTTAAATCAATAAGGGTATCGCTAAAATTGTTCCAGAGTTACGAACGATACCATTAGAACGATTATGAGATCTACCGATTTTGATTGTAGACCTCATTGAAACAATATAACGTGAGAACGATCTCGAGAGACCTCGAGTATGGAAAGCGATCGATTTGGCGTGGAATAGCCCTTGGCTAAATCCATGAACCGCAAATGTATTTGTAATATTGTTCATTGAACGCAAAGTACATAGAATTCAAGGTAGAATATATCATTTTTATAAAGTCACTCTGAGGTTTTCAATCAACAGTTGTCTTTAATTTCTGTAAACTCGTCTAATTCTATGCTGATGCATATAGCACTCGTTAGCTAGGTTAGAACCATTTTCACCTCGTTAGATCTGTTCCAACTATTTACATTTCTTTTCGACGGTTGAACAAATTTTCGTTCGTCTAATGTACACGCGTTGTAAGTTTACTGTTTGACTCGACGATTCTATGAACGAACCGTGAAGTCATCAGAAAATATAATTACGCGAATAACTCTAACATTATCACACACATTACCAAACCAGTCAAAATGACCCATTCGTAATTTCTAATAAAATTTGTAAAAAATTTACTCGACTGAATTTTTGAAAATTTATCGTAATTTTCTATAAGAGCATATATAAACCACTTATTTCCATTGCATTATATATTTCTTCGCGTATCTATCGTTTCAATTTCTTTGGTACAAATAAACACACTATAATTGTCGGTAGTTCTAATGTTAAGGATGAAACTTGTCTGCATTCTGTATCGCGATACTGTTGTTTAACATTTTACGTCAGGAAAGGATGTTGTTTAAAGTAGTGGCACGAATGGAAACTGGAGCAGAAAGAAGAATTATCGTGATACTACCGTATTACTTTGCAAGATGAGTGCAGTATATATTATGCCAAGAATTAATTGCAAGAGATTAAACACGAGTTGTACGGCTTTCTTCTGTACTGTTTCGTACAATTGACTTCGATTTAATTCGTCGTAAAGCGTGATACTTGGTTTTAATTTAAAAATAAACTGAAATCTAATTTATGATGTTGTTAATTGCAAAACATTTTATTTATATTATTATCTTGTAATTATAATTAGATTTATCGTATTCAAGAGTCATAATCCTATAACAATTAGATATAGTCTTCGTAAATTATTAGGTTACAATTTCCATATTTTTGAATATGAAATGTTCATGAATAACAGGTGCCTTTGAAGTTAAAGACAACAGAAAATACAAATTTTAATATTTCACAATTGTAAAGTAATTAAATTTCGAAATATTCCCCGCGTGGATTTTCCAATGTTTCATGTTTTCAAAGTTCCGTAGGTTTAATTTCATTCATTTGATATACTATACGTACGCGTATATTTTATCGTTACCTTTAATCCTGACACAAAAGTTTATCTTTTTTTTTTTTTGGTTTATTTTCAGGTTTGCCAGCGGCGTTCCGTCATTTTGCTTTCATACATTCGATCAGAATTTATTGCTGTGTGTCGAAGGACATAATACCGAAAGCATATAGAATTATTTTTGTCAGCCATTGAGATACGTATTCCCGTTTTCGAAGTAACATTTTCATTGCAGATTCTAGACGAATCGATTAACTTTAATAATTTTAGTTTATAGATAAATATTCCAACGCATACGAAACTTAATTTCGCGATCTTCGGAACTTTCTCAATGATTTTTAACTTCGAATAAAATACGTGAAACGACAGTACGTGTGAAATGGAAGCGGCGAAGGAAGAAAAATAGAAATCGTAATAAAAATAATGGACTCACTCTTTCGCCCCGTTCGGCGTATAATACAAATTCAAATCCTGGAATATCACTTGGACCCGTTCCTTTCCTCGTCCTTGGAAGTCATATGTACAGCGCGTCCTGGATGGATAAGGATTTGGATATCCTGGCGACGTGACCACTCCCGTTTTCGTCGAGTCGCTGTTGAAAACCATGTCGCACAATGACGCTGCAAGAAAAGAATAAAAAAAAAGTACAGTGGTGACAATAAAGTGGCGCATTCGCACAATAAATAGAAAAAGCAACGTTTTACAGGGATAATTAATTAACGCCCGAACGGTGAAAAAACGGTGGCCAATTAAATTGCAGCAGACGTCCACCCTCGTTAGCACACGCACATTTTGAGACAGTGACAAGTCGTTTCGATTCTTCCGGGTTTTGAACACGACCACGCGCGATTCTGTTCGAAATAATTTTGAAATATTCGGGCAAGTTAAAAAATTGAAATAATTATAATTCGTCGACGTTAAAGTACGTTCGGTTAAAACGAAAATAGATTTGAATAAATCCTAGCAAGTTTCATTCTCCATTGAATGCGAAAGGGATATCAAATAAAAATAGATCGAGCACAGCTATGTTTACCTTGAATCATTTTAGTTTCTATAATTTTGCCTATTTTTTAAATTTCAATGACATAGTACATGAATTCAGCAACGTATATTTATTGAATTTGTAGAGTGAATGACTTTATATAGTCGACTTTGTTAACATCTCTTTAAGTTTATTACTTTGAATAAATTTTGAATATTGATAGAATTTTAATAATTGAAGAATTGGTATTCTAATTGACCTGTATGCTTCGCTTTTTATTAAATAGTGAAGTGTTATATCCCATGAAAATCGATCCTAATAGATCGAAAATGGTCTAAGGATAGCAATTGTACAAGGATACTAGCGAATCATAAATACTGATATTTTTTCGATTGTTTTGAATGTGGAAATCTATCTTGCAATAGGCAAACGAATTGATTATCCTATGGAATTCAAGTGCTGCGCGTGCTTTGGGCGTTGATGCTGTGTAATTATTGCTGGCTGCAGATGATCACAAGTGAGGATCAGGTTAAGACCACTAGGGCTAAGTTTGGTAATACAACTCTGAGTATTTCGGACGTCCAACATCGATATATTCCAGCAAATCCAGTTTCTATCATCGTATTCATAATCCTGATGGAGTCTCTGATTGCGAGTCTAGTACTGATAATCACGGTAACCAGGACAAGCAGCCATTGACTGTCCATCCACGAATTCTGAGGTAAACCTAATCCAAATAAACCTGCAATTTACATGTCTCTATCTATGTATATCCAAATACCGTGACTCCTTTGGTTGCGTTTCCAATACCTTCCGAATAGGGTTGAACTCTTTTCCAATATCGTATCGAAGATCACACCGAACGAATGAAAATTACGCGTGTGCTACTATTTTATACAAATAGAACACGTTCTATTCTGCTAAGTTTTATTAAAATCAGAGATTAACATCTGGGTATAGTGCTTCGTAAAATTGCTTTCAGTTGGTTAAATGGTACTGTGTCAAATTAAAAATTGTTTCACAGGGGTTACATTATCAAAGAAATTAAGGGCAATTAGTTGATACCTTTCGAATGAAATTCATAGAATTAGAATTTTTACCAAATAATCACCCAGACAAATATTCAGTTTATTTTTTGGACCGTGAACCCGACTAAAGCTATACAAATGTGAAGCTCAAGGTTATATCCGTACGAATTTCCGCGTCCAACCTCACTGTCAGCGAACAAACTTACAAACTGCCAGCAGTTGCGCGTCTCCGGTCGAAAGTTTCTCAAACGTTATTCGCGAGACCGCCGTCGGTAGACAGCCATGAATTATCGAGCGCGACTTTAAACAGTCGATACGCCGTTAATTACGGAATACAAAGGGTATTAATTTATTGTTAGCCCGGTTCATCGGGCTGTTTGCGTAATTGGTTTGTTATCACGCGACGCGTGAAACGGAGACGTTTCAAAGGCAGGTGCGCGATACGCGAAGTCGACCGTGTCGCCAGCCAACGTAAAGTTTCAAACTCGTTTGTATTTAATAACGCGAACGTAGTCAGGCTTCACGAATATCTGTATTCCAGGGCTCAAAGCGATGCTCGATGTGCGGGATGTTCCTTAAAATTGGTATTAGCCAACAGAAAGTGATCGTTCAAAGATACTAAAATGTGAAATAAAATTATTCGTGGCTTTGTTTTCGTAAAAATTTATTAACTGTCAATTGAAATTCTTGAAGACCTAAAGATTCAAAATATCATACATAGATTAATTTTGCCAGTTTCGTACGAATACATTCTTGAGATATAAAGTAAAACAGAGGCCAACGTACATATTGTTATATTTATTTAGTTTATTTATTACTAATCAATTTTTCACAGTAATCTTGCATCCTGTTTCAAAGGTTATTTGAAGATTCTTTCGTGGATCCCAATGAATACAAAATATTATACAAAGATTAATTTTGTCAGTTTCGTGTGTATACATTTGTTTCCATAGCCTCCCTACCTTAATATATCCTTTTTTATCAGCTTGTTTGTTATTGCATTGATGCGCTGTCGCAGAGATGGAGCACGCTTGCAAATCAGCAGGAGAAAAATCGCACTTTTAAAGAAACCGTCGCGAGGAGGTTCTTTAATGCTTGAAAGCCGAGAGATACGATATGACAAGGATTTACTGCATGGAAACTGAAAAGGTGAAGCGATACAGACGATAGCTCATGAATGTTGCATGAGTGTTTGGATTACAGTACTACGAGCATACATGTATCTTGATATCGTGTTCAAGATTATTAGCATATCGAAAATATTGTTTGTATTCGTGTGCCCCTGTTTAAACCAACTCCGACCGCTTTTTCTTCCCTGGGAAAGGTATCACTCGTGACACTTTGAATAATGACGTTAGCAGCGTGCGTCGAAGAAATCTTCGACTTTGAACGAGCATTCGCGACGCACGAGAACATGGATTTTCACGATAACAGGACCAGCATCGATGATTTATAACGTAAAAGTTACCTCGTACGATCCATTCGTGTCAGTTTGGAAAATTATTGTGAATCGAATTCGACTAAAATGTACTTGGAACGTGTTCGTAAAACTCGAAAAATAATTTGATATTTAGTACTGAATAGCAACGAATTTTTATTCTAAAACCATAAATCTACATAAGATTGTACAGAGTACGAAGATCGCGGTTTCACGATACTCGAACGAGAGCATACAAATTTTTCAAACGAAATAGGAAAGTGGGTATATCCATGGTACCCTTGGTATATCCAGGTATCGACACAAGGGTTGAATTTTCCTGTGGATTTCAAGCATTTCAAAGGTTCCGCGAATTCTTTTGGCCGATTTCCACGCAGATAGAGGACTACGTAAGACAAAACCACGCGATACAATCGTCTCGTGTCCGCGATTACTTTACCAGAGAAACCAGGTGCCTCCGTATAAAATTGCGGCGAACGTCAAAGCCCGACGAATCCGTCTTAATTGAATAAACGTTTTTGCCCGGGGAATAGTACGATTCGCGAATTTCAGTTTACCTTTCGGGTTTTGTGTAGTTTCTGTCCGACGATATGAAAAATCGTACCGAAATTAACGCGCACTTCTCTTTCACTTAACGTGAAAGAGCCCCCGCCGGTTATAATTCATGGTAATTTGAGTTGACCCATTTCGCAGCCAGTTTCAACGGCCATCTAATACAGGGCTTGGCCAGAAACGCGACGCTCTCGCGGGTCGAAAAAAGGTGAATTTAAACAACAAGACCTGTTTACCGTGCATTCATTATTTAAGTCTTCGGCAGCCGCGGCTTATCGACTTCTGAATCTCGTTTATACGGGAAATCAAATAACGGAAACGAGGAAAGAGGCGCGCGATAGGAGCGGATAAACGTTTTAATTTGCATTCATGAGCCGTCCTCTCAAAATTCTTAGAACCACCAAGTATTCCGAGTACGTCCCCGGTTATATCCAAGGGACGAATTCACTTATGACGATCGACGCATCTTCTTCCGTGCATTGACCGGGGTTGGGGTCCACCCTAGTAAGTATTCGCCAAGTAGTCAAATCGAACGGAAATTTCGATGGAATATAAAGAAATATTTACTTTCTATTCGTGAGCTTACAGTCGCTATTTAAATTTGTCTAAATTCCAGTTATTCTCTGGATTAAACAGCGTGCATGGTGCGTATCGATCTTTATAAGATAACGAAATAAAGTTTTGTTACGTTTCACTTTGTAAATTTGCGCCTGGGCACGAACAATAAGAAGGTGTGCTCTAAATTCCAGTACTCAGCAGCGCGTTTCAAGGGGAACAAAATCGATTTCGGATACTTGGGTAATGCACCTTGTAAGCATAATTTTGTGATAATTCCGGTGCTGCTGTTTGCTTAATTAAGAAAACGACCGTCTAACGCTGCACAATATAATTAGAACGTCTCCTCGGTAAAGTTAGTTTCTTGGTGTACAAAAATAAATTTCATCTTGCTTTATGGAAACGCTGTCGATGATACTTCTATAAAATATTGTCAATTTCTTCTCTTTTGTAATCTTGGTTTTATAGCGATCGAACTCAATCAACGCAGGTGCCCAATCTTCTAGAAACTGTTGACGATCGATAACTTCTGATTTTAGCCTGAGCGTCGGGGATATTTATTCAAACATCTAATATGTATTTAATCCTTCATTAATTTTAATTCAATATACGATATTGTCAATTGAAAGGATCAATTGTTAATTTATCAAATTGTTACCTAAATCTTATTTCTCTCCAACGAACAATAAAAATAAAAATGTTAACAGTATAGAATCAATTTCCACGATACATTAAAATCCCGATCGAATAACTTTCCCGAACGCAAGAAAAAATATTCCTTAATAATTTCCCGTCCAAAAGGGGGTCGCGAACAAAGCGAAGCAAAGATCGTCGAAAACTGTACGTTACCAACTTTATCACCGATCGAAATTAATTTCGCGTCCCGTGTAATTGAATCTTTCCGCAAAATGTAAAACGCAATTAAAACTTCGTTTAATGAAGTTTTAATACGAGCGCAACATTCGCCCCCCCTCCTCGACAATGTTGGCTTTCGATCCTCCTTCCCGCGAAGCTCGATCGCGCTTTACCCGCCCATTTTAAATCCAAAGACGCGTGAAAATCAGT